TAAGAGAAGTTTGGCATCACAAGCCGAGAAGAATCTCCTGCCCGGCGAGCTAGGTCCCTAAACTGATCCAAAGCAAGGAGGGCCTCACAGCTTCTGGGGGCAACACAGGGACCTGCAGATGGGCCGTGGGACACAGTGCAGGGGAATTCCAGTCTTTTCTCCACCCAGGGGCCTAGCCACAAACAGGGAAAGTCGATAATGGACCCCAAGAAGATGTTCCCTCAAGGTCATCAGAGGTCATGCACACTCCCCAGCTCACAGGAGTAAGCTCCTTGGCATTCATCTGGGAAGCTGCCCAGAGAGTCTAAGCTTTCACCTGGGGCACCTCACCTGAGAGCAGCCATAGACACTTGAAACACTGATTGTTTCGTTTTTATAACAGTCTAGGTCAGTGATGGCGAACCTTTTGAGCTCGGCGTGTCAGCATTTTGAAAAACCCTAACTTAACTCTGGTGCTGTGTCACATATAGAAATTTTTTGATATTTGCAACCATAGTAAAACAAAGACTTATATTCTTGATATTTATTTTATATATTTAAATGCCGTTTAACAAAGAAAAATCAACCAAAAAAAATGAGTTCGCGTGTCACCTCTGACACGCGTGTCATAGGTTCGCCATCACTGGTCTAGGTTTGGGGTGGATTTAATTTTATAGAGCTCCCTCAAATTGTGTGGGAAGGAGATAAAGTAATCCTGATAATAACTTGCATTTCTCCCAACCATATGTAAACAGAGTGGGGCCTTTTAAGTACAGGTGCTTTCTGACTAATGATGAAATACATGACACCTCATCAGTCCATGGCCTGCCAATATCTCCTGAGGACTGAGGCTTAGAGGAAGCGAATCAAGTGGAATTCCCCCAAACCTTCCCAGCCCAACCTGCCTCTCCCCATCTGTTACCCTGTCATCCCTCTCATGAAGGCTGACTGAATAAACCTCACCTCAGCCAGCAAACAAGTGCAGGCAAGGACATCTCGAATGGCACAACCCAGGTCAGCATACCCTAAACCAGTGATGGCGAACCTTTTGAGCTCGGCGTGTCAGCATTTTGAAAAACCCTAACTTAACTCTGGTGCCGTGTCACATATAGAAATTTTTTGATATTTGCAACCATAGTAAAACAAAGACTTATATTTTTGATATTTATTTTATATATTTAAATGCCATTTAACAAAGAAAAACCAACCAAAAAAATGAGTCCGCATGTCACCCCTGACATGTGTGTCATAGGTTCGCCATCACTGCCCTAAACTAATGGCCGTGATGACAGGGATGGCATGTGCCTGCTGGTTAGAATCTTCCTATCATTTCTGTTATGAGACACACAGCTATTTCCCATTCTGGGAAGTTTTGAAGGGGCAAGGAAAGGGAAGACAGGAAGGAAAGGGATCTTCATGGACAAAACCTGGCAAAGGTGCATTGAGGATCTACCATACTTCCTAAATAAAGTACACCCCACCTAACCCAGTCTCTCTCTCCCCTATAACCCTGCTTTAAAGTTCTTCATACTCCATCTGGTTTTACTGTATTTTTTATTTTTATTTTTACAAAGCCATGATCTGGCCCCTGGATACCTCTTCCTCTGCAGTTCTCCCTGTCACTTATCTACCCACATTGGGCTCCTTGATGTTTCCATAACACACCAAGTTCATTATCATTGGAGGGGTCTATTAGTTTGCTAGGGCTGCCATAACAAGGTAACACAAGCTGCGTGGCTTAAATAACAGAAATGTATTGTCTCAGCGTTTTGGAGGTTAGAAGTCTGAAATCAAGTTATTGGTAGGGTAGTTGGGTTCTTTTGAAGACTCTATAAAAGGATATGTCCCATGCCTCTCTCTTTGCTTCTGGTGGCTTGCTAGCAATCTTCAGTGTCCCTGGGCTTACAGACTCATCACCCCAGTGATGGTGCTCTTCCCAGGAGCCAGTCTGTCTCCAAACTTCTCCTTTTTATGAGGACACTGGTTTGCATAGATTAGAGGCCCACCCTACTCCAGGATGACCTCATCTTAACTCATGATAACAATTACAGCAATGACCCTTTTTCCACATTCTGTCACATTCTGAGGAACTGGAGCTTAGAACTTCTCTCTATGAATTGGGGATGTGGGGAAACACTTTAACCCATAGCAAGAGCCTTTGCAATCGCTGTTCCCTCTTCCTGGAAAGCTCTTTACCCAGTGTGGTTGCCATCAGGATACGCCTTGCAGTCATCCTACTGACAGGGACCATAATTGACCAAGAGTCATAGCTGCTGTGCTCTGAAATCCGTCTCTGCGTTTATGCCAAAGTCATGATCTCCACGACCTGGTCCTACCCAGTGACTGAGAATGTCGGAGATACCTAGGCAAGCCTGTTCCTGGGAGATAAAAATTCACCTGACAGGTTGTCTTTGGTTCAAGGACTCTCCTCAGCCTCGTCAAACTCCCTTAGCACAGCACTCTGGGCTGCTTCCACTCACCCTTCCTTCCTCGCCTTTTCTTAACGTCATACTAAGTTCACCCAGGTCCCCCTTCACTTCCAAACACATATAAAATATAATCCAGTGTGGTCATCTGGTGAATGTACTTCATAGACCTATAAATTAAAACTTTTACTTTGTTTTGTTTAAATCTCTATTGTTGAAAGTATTACATATGTCCCCTCTTGTTCCCCCCATTGACCTCTTCTAACCTGACCCCACCCCCTGCCCCAGGCCTTCATCACCCTATTGTCTGTGTTCATGGGTTATGCATATATGCACCCTTCCCCTAAAATATAACTTTTTAAAAATACAGGCCAGAAATGAGTAGAGAACCCAAAGCTGAAGCCGAAGCAGTAGGCATGAGAGCAAATGTGCATCACCAGAGAGGGATGGATCTGGATACAGCTGCTTCAGGGCCTAGAGCTGGGATTTTAATGACCAGGTTAGGACAGGCCAGATAGGAGACTGGAACTGAGGTAACATCACACGGTTAGAATTATTGAAAACCTCCCTCTACATAAAAACGAGACTAGAAAAACGACCACTGCTTCCTAGTAGTTCAGGGAAGAGGAAACTACTAGTAAGTCTGTATTCTGCCCCAATCTCAGTGTGAAAAAAAAAATGCATCTAGTGAAAAACACAAAACATGCACAAGCATGTTGCCCAAATGTACATTATTTAGATTATGCAAGAATCCTGAGCTGATAAATCACCATAAAAATGTCCCTAGGACCACAGTAAGCTCTATAGAAGCAAACTCAAATTGTTTTGTAAAAATATGTTCATAACTCAGGACTCAAAAGACTCCCTTACAATAAACAATTTCTGTTGAACAAACCAGACAAAGAACCAAACCAATCAGGAGTCATATACACAACAAGCAGAATTAGCATCCCAAGAACTAGTAGTAATAGAATAATCTGATAAATCTAAACTCTAACAATGTTTAAAAGTATGTTTAAAATGAAATAGTCAACTGATATAAAAAATGGTCAGAACTGGAAAAAAAGAAGTAAGTAGAATACTGAAAATTAAAAATACAATGTTAAGTTGCATATTAGATAGAGCTGAAAAGAGAATTAGTATTAAGAAAGATACTTTGCCTAACCTGCCTGAGGGCCCTGGGAAAAGCAGACCTGGGTGCACAGCTCAGTCCTTCCCACATGCATCCAGGCCTAGCAGACAGAGCCACAGGCTGTGGATAGCTGATGGCTCTAAATAGGATACTCAGTGCCAATCACAAAGACTGAAGAAATTACTCATAGTGTAGCACAGAGAAAATAAAAAGATAGAAAGTGTTAGAGGATATAAGACAGAGAACAGATTGAAAAAATAAAGTATATATTTTATAGAAGTTCCAGGACACAGGAGTAGAAAATTGTGAAAGAGGCAAAATTGAAATGATAATAGCTAAGAACTTAGCAGAATTAAAGTAATACTTATGTTCTTCATTTGAAACATCATAAGCCCCAAGCAGGATTCAAAAGAAACAGAAAACCACACACACACACACACACACACACACACACACACACGCATACCCCTGGACACATTGTGGTAAACTGTGGTAAACTGAAGAACACCATAACCAAAGACAGTCATGGAAGCAACCAGAGAGAAAAATATAGTTTAACAACCTAATAATGCCAATCAGATTAGCAGCAAACTTTTCATCAATGATAGAGGCTAGAAGAAAATGGAGTAACATATTCAAAGTGGGAAGAGAAAATAACTGTGAAACAACTATTTGATACCTAACTAAATTACCACGCAAAAATGAGTGTGAAATAAAGACATATTCATACAAAAAAGAAGACAATATCTAACTCACAGACACTCCTTAAAAAATTAAACAATAATGTTTCATATGAAGTAAATTAAATTAAGAAAAAGATAAACAATGATGAGTAAAGGAGATGATAAACATGACAGTCACTTTATAATCACCCTACTGCTTAAAAATTTTTAAAGATTAATGGGGAAAAATCATAAACAACTTGGAGCTAAAATATTAGTAACAATATGGAAGGACAATTAACTTAAAATATTCAAAGGCCCTTGTGTTGTTTGATAAAAGAAAAAAAATTATTTGAATGATTATTTTAAAAGTTAAAGGGCAGATTAAGTGGAAGCTACACTAACATTCTCCCAAGACCAAACTGGAATTGCAACTAAAATATAGAAAAATCATCCCGAATAACCAACAAAAGACAAGCTGGAGAGAAGCCTTATAACCAAGGTTGTAAAGAGGAGGCCGCATGGAGACTGGTAGGGAGGGGGGAGCCACAAGAGGGCTGGCCAGGCTCCCACAGGCAGCAGCTGAAGGGATAACTCAGCTGTGGGGCATTCACCCTGAGAAGTCTTGGGTCTAAACCCGGAACCAGTCTTCCCAGCCCGGAGCACCAGAACTGGGAAAGGTGCCCACATAACATCTGGCTGTGAGAAGCATTGGGGTTCTGTCCAGCAGGGACAGATGGCTAGATTACGCAGACACCCCTTAAAACGCTGATGCACTAAAATTCGTTTGCAGCCACTTACCTTGGGCTCTGGCAGAAAGAAGGCAGAGTGGACTAGAGCTGCAGGATGAGAGCCTGGGGTAAGAGCAGAGAGGAAAACCTTCAGGATCCATGTGCTGAGTCATTCCCTCACATGACAGAAACCATCTTTCTCAGGCAGAGCTTTCCCATCATGCAGCTTTTGCCTGGGGGGAAGAAATTGCCCCACTTGTTGGAAACCCTCTCACCCCACCCTGTGGAGTTCTGAGCTCTACAGCCTGAGGCTCCTTTAGTGACTGAGACTAACAATCTGCCTGCAGGCAGAAGCTGATTTCTGGATACTTTGAGTCTTTGCTTAACCTGCCTCAGGGCCCTGGGAAAAGCAGACCTTGGTGCACAGCTCAGTCCTTCCCACGTGTGTCCAGGCCTAGCAGGTAGAGCCACAAGCTTTGGATTGCTGATTGCTCTAAATAGGGTATTCAGTTACAAACAGCATCTGACACTGGCCTGTACCAGAGCCCTCTGAAGAGGCCCCAAACCCATAAGCTCAGTGGTAAGCTTCAGACGACAGAGCAGGATCCAATAAGCTCCGAAAGTGGTATATCCACAGGTAAATATCCAAGACATGCAGAGGAGAATTCTCCTTCCTGTGATAAGCAACTGCACAGCAGACTGCACGCTATGTTGGGGGTAGAGCCTGAGGGTCAAGCTCATGTATGAATGAGCCAATAGCAATGAAGACTCAATTATAACAGGAGGGCCAACACAACATGCACAAGGAGCATTATTAGAGCACCCAGGTCTGGTGACCAGGGAGACTGTACCACTGGATTCCACAGGTCAACCACCACATAAAGCCCAGTGATGGTAAACCTTTTGAGCTCGGCGTGTCAGCATTTTGAAAAACCCTAACTTAACTCTAGTGCCATGTCACATATAAAAATTTTTTGATATTTACAACCATAGTAAAACAAAGATTTATATTTTTGATATTTATTTATATATTTAAATGCCATTTAACAAAGAAAAATCAACCAAAAAAATGAGTTCGTGTGTCACCTCTGACACACGTGTCATAGGTTCGCCATCACTGATAAAGCCACTGTACCAAGATCTACCTAATACATAGAAACAAACCCAAGCAGGCATCCAAAATGGGGAGACAAAGAAATAAGCCCCAAATGAAAGAACAAGAGAATTCTCCAGAAGAAGAGCTAAATGAAATGGAGGTAAGCAACTTATCAGATATAGAGTTCAGAGTAATGGTTATAAGGATGCTCAACATCATGAGAAAAGATATAGAAACTATGAAAAATGACCAGGCAGAAATAAATGAAGGATGACATGACTGAAATAAAGGACACACTGTAAGGAATAAAGAGCAGAGGAAGCAGAGGATCAGATCAGTGAATTAGAAGACAGGGTAGAAAAAAAATCACTCAATTAGAGAACCAAAAAGAAAAAACAATTAAAAAACAGGAGGACAGCCCTAGCTGGTTTGGCTCAGTGGTTAGAGTGTTGGCCTGTAGAATGAAGGGTTGTGGGTTTGATTCCAGTCAAGGGAATATACCTCGATTGCATGCTTGATCCCTGGCCCTGGTTGGAACACATCCAGGAGGCAACCAATCAATGTGTCTCTCTCACATCGATGTTTCTCTCTCTTTCTCTCTGTCTCTCCCCCTCCATTCTACTCTCTCTAAAAACCAATGGGAAAAAATATCCTGGAGTGAGGATTAACAAAAAAATAACACAAAAACAAACAACAACAGGAGGACAGTTTAAGGGAGATGTGGGACAACATGAAATGTAACAATATCTGCATCATAAGAGTAAAAGGAGAAGAGAGTAAGCAAGGGATAAAGAACCTGTTTGAAGAAATAATGGCAGAAAATTTCCCTAACCTGGTGAAGGAAAAAGTCACACAAGTTTAGGAGGCACAGAGAGTCCCAACCAAGAAGAACCCAAACAGGCCCATCCCAGACACATCATAATTGAAATGCCAAAAGTTAAAGACAAAATCTTAAAGGCAGCAAAAGAAAAGCAATTTGTTACCTACAAAGAAGCTTCCATAAGGATGCAACCTGATTTTTCAACAAAAACTCTACAGGCCAGAATGGAATGGCATGAAATATTCAAGGTAATGAAAAGCAAGGATCTAAAACCAAGACTACTATATACAGCAAGGGTATCATTCAAAATAGAAGGTGAAATAAAGAGATTCCCAGAAAAAAAAAAAGACTAAATGAGTTTATCACCACCTAACCAGCATTACAAGAAATGTTAAAAAGACTGCAGTAATAATAAAAATAGAGAGAGAAATAGGCATAAAGAATTATTAAAATGGCTATTAATAAGAACCTATCAATAATAACCTTAACTGTAAATGTATTAAATGCTCCAAACAAATCAAAAGACATAGGGTAGCTTAATGGATAAAAAAACATGATCCACATATATACTGTCTACAAAAGATCCACCTCAGAACAAAAGACAGGATGAGAATGAAGGGATGGGAAAATATTTTCCATGCAAATGGAAACAAATAAAAAAGCTGGGAAAGCAATACTCTCATTGGACAAAATAGACTTCAAAATGAAGGCCATCACAAGAGACAATAAAGGTTACTTCCTAATACTAAAGGAATCGATACAATAAGAGGATATAACCCTGGTAAACATATATGCACCTAATATGGGAACATCTAGATATATTTTTAAAAAAAACAAAACAAAAAATTTCTGGAGGACTTTAAAGGAGAAAGCAACAGCAATACAGTGATAGTAGGGGACTTTAACACCTTACTGACTTCACTGGATAGATCTTCCAGACAAAAAAGAAATCAACAAGGAAACAGTGACTCTAAATGACAAACTCAATCAGATAGATTTAACTGACATTTGCAGAACATTTCACCCTGAAGTTGCAGAACATACATTCTTCTCAAGTGTACATGGGACATTCTCAAAGATGGACCACATGTTAGGACATAAAACAAGTCTCTAACAGTTCAAGAACATTGAAATCATAAAAAGCATCTTTTTAGATCACAATCACATGAAATTAGAAATCAACTGTAATAAAAACACTCAAGGCCAGCTGGTATAGCTCAGTGGTTGAGTGTTGACTTATGAACCGGGAGGTCATGGTTCAATGCCCAGTCAGGGCACATGCCTGTGTTGCAGACTCAATCCCCAGTAGTGGGTGTGCAGGAGGCAGTTGATCAATAATTCTCTCTCATCATTGATGTTTCTATCTCTCTCTCCTTTTCCCTTCCTTTCTGAAATCAATAAAATATATTGTAAAAAACATACTCAAAAGCATTGAAACACATGGAAGCTAAATAACATGTTATTAAACAATGAATCAGTTACAAATGAGATCAAAGAAGAAATAAAAAACTTCCTGGAAACAAATGAAAATGAACACACAACAACCCAAAATCTACGGGACACAGCAAAAGCAGTCCTGAGGGGGAAGTTCATAGCATTATTGGCCTACCTCAAAATCAAGAAAATTTCTAACAAACTCTATAACTGTACAACTTAAAGAATTAGAAAGAGAACAAGAAAAGCCCAGAGTAAGTAGAAGGAGTAAGTTAGTATAAAAATAATAAAGATTAAAGCAGAAATAGATGACATAGAGACTGAAAAAAAACAATAAAAAAGAGCAATGAAATCAAGAGCTGGTTGTTTGAAAAAAATAAATAAGATTGAATGACCTTTAGCCAAATCGTCAAGAAACAAAGAGAAAGGACCCAAATAAACGAAATCAGAAACAAAAACTGACACCACAGAAATAAGGATTGTAAGAAAATACTATGAACAACTATATGCCTACAAGCTGGATAATCTGGATGAAATGGACAAATTCCTAGAAAAATACAATCTCCCAAAACTGAATCAGAAAGAATCAGAAAACCTGAATAGGCCAATATCAACTGATGAAGTAGAAGCAGTAACCAAAAAACTCTCAGCAAACAAAAAGCCCTGGTCCAGATGGCTTCACAGGGGAGTTTTACCAAACACTCAGAGAACTAACACCTATCCTCCTCAAACTATTCCAAAACATCCAAGAGTAAGGAACACTTCCAAGCTCTTTTTAGGAGGCCAGCATTATCCTAATACCAAAACCAGATAAAGACACTATGAAGAAAGATAACTAAAGGCCAATATCCATAATAAACATAGATGCTGAAATCCTCAACAAAATATTAGCAAAGTGGATCCAGCAATATATTAAAAAGATCATACATTGTGACCAAGTGGGCTTTATTCCAGGGATGCAAGGCTGGTACAATATTCGCAAATCAATAAATGTGATACATCACATAAACAAACTGAAAGACAAAAATCACATATCAATAGATGCAGAAAAAGCATTTGACAAAATCCAGCATCCATTTTTTATAAACACTCTCAGCAAAGTGGGAATAGAGGGAGCATATCTCAACATGATAAAGGCCATATATGACAAACCTACAGCCAACATCATACTCAATGGGCAAAAACTAAAACCATTTCCCCTAAGAACAGGAACAATACAGGGACGTGCGCTTTTATCACTCTTATACAACATAGTATTGGAGGTCCTAGCCACAGCAATCAGACAAGAATAAAACATAAAAGGCATCAAAATTAGAAAGGAGGAAGTACTAGTAAAACTCTCATTATTTGCAGATGATATGATATTGTACAAGAAAACCCTAAAGATTCCACCAAAAACTACTCGGTTCAATAAATGAATTCGGCAATGTAGCAAGATATAAAATTCATGGCATTTTTATACACCAATAATAAACTCTCAGACAGAGAAACTAAAAAAAAAAAAAATCCCATTTGTCACTGCAAAAAAAAAAAAATTAAGATACTTTGGAATAAACATAACGAAGGAGGTAAAGGACTCGTACTCAGAAAACTACAGGACATTGAAAAAAGAGATAGAGGAATATATAAACTAGTGGAAGAATATACTGTGTTCATCAGTAGATAAATGGATAAAAAAGCTGTGGTACATTTACAGCTCGGAATACTATGCAGCTGTAAAAAAAAGAAGAATCTCTTACCCTATGAGGCAGCATGGAGGGGCCTGGAGAGTAT